GGAAGAAGAAGAAGAAGAAGAAGAAGAGGAGGAGGAGGAGGAGGAGGAGGAGGAGGAGGGGGAGGAGCAGCATCCCCAGGGCGTCCCGCACCGAGAGGAACACGTCGTCGGACGTCTGGGGATGCGGATCGCAGCGGCCGCTGCCGCAAGGCCTGGGCCAGGGCCTCCTCTCACCCCTGAGGTCTTGGCGTCGCATGCTGCTCACACCAGACGTTCTCGCCCGGGGTTCGGGCCCCGGGGCCCTCACGGATCGACCAGGCTCGAGGAGTGACGCAGAAGCATGGGGCCGAGGGCTCTCGTCGGGCTGGTTGTCGTGCTGCCGTTCTTCTGCGACGCTGGGTCTTGGGGACGAGTGGAGGAGCACAAGATTCAGACCCTCTCGCTGTGTCACGCAGAGGCCCTTCAAGAAACCACCTCGGTCGAAGCGCAGGTCCCTGGGAAGGGGTCGAGAGCTTCTTGCGGGCCGCCGCACACCAAACACCACACGACCCCGGCCACTCTCCGACGTGACGTGTCTGGCCCGCGGTCCCAGCCCTTCGGACCCCTTGGCCCTGGGCTCCGTCGTTCGCCCCCGAGGGCGCGCCCGCGGAGGGCCGCCGGAGGCCCGAGCTGCGCCACCCAAAGAATCCGAGAGCCAGGCGTCGCGATGTTTGGACGCCAGACGTTTCCGCTCGAGCTCCCACGGGGCAGGATTGCGCTGTGGATCCACTGTTGTATGGCCCCGCGCGGGAGGCTCGATGACAGGCCCCCCGAGGCCGGCGTCTCGGGAAGGGCGCCGCGCTCTCGATCCGTCTTCTGCGGCCCCGCGCGCATGGGGGGGCCGGTGGCGGGCCCCCAGAGGCCGACGTCTGGGACAGAGGGCGGCGGTGGCGAGAGTCACAGTCGCCGCAGGAAGGACGCACACCTGCAGGCTTATGATGTTCCAACCTACTTCAGCCTTGACTGCCAGAGAGAAGCTCGAGCGCCCACAGAAGTACCGAAACTCAAGGGTGTTCACGTGTCAGGCCCTGGGAGACACTCGCCCGACACTGTTTCGACCCTCTTTTGACACTTTTCCGGGTGCTCGAAATTATTTCTGGGATGTGCCTTAAGTCGGATGGGAACAACATAACTGCAGGCCGAAGTTTTGGGCAGAACGCCGGCTGAGAGCCGCACTCGCCGGAGGCACGGGGCCGGAGGTCCGGGAGCGGCGGCCGCCGGCCCTGTGACTCATCACTCCTTAAAATAAAGCTCGTGTATGTAAGTATATGCAAGTCTTAAAATAAGGTTCATTGTCGTATATTGTGTGTAAACGCACGCGTGTGTCAGAATTCATTGAAAAACGTTAGCTGCGCGAGGGTTGAGATCAAGTTTTCGGGGGCGCCCGAATACCCAGCAGTGTTTTTAGTGTAACGCTATCGCGACCACCGCATCCACCACCGTTCTCACTGCACGCTCCACCTCCACGATCACCTCCACCATATCCTCCAGCTCTCCCCACCGTTCGTTTGAATGTATTCGGCATTGAATGCCACATTGCGCCACCACCGCCACCTCAAACAAAAATTGACACCGTCAAACATAACGAACGCTGCAGGGCCTGTCGGTTTCGAACAGTAGGTTGGCTACCGCTGACGCGGCCCGTATTCCATAGCTGTTTTGACTCGATATAGGTTTGCTGCACAGACACCTGGAGCGAGATGGCGTCTAAGCGCCCGCGATATGATGGTGATTGCTTAGAGGAGACAATCAAGAAGCAGTGCATCAAACACGGAGCTAGCTTTCTCAAGTATTCGGAGACACCGAAAGCGACCAAGGCAGTATTCAGCAGGGAGGCGATGACGCGCAGCAAGGATTTCCTCATTGACATGCGAGGGTTGTCTCCCAACTTGGCGTTCAAGAAATCAGATATCAACAGTGCTCTCAAGAAGATAATCAAGGCAATGACTGACCCTAAGAAGCCAGCGTGGAAGATGTCACAGTCCGAGAAGGATGACTGGATCGAAACGATGACCAACCGAACGTACAACCTCATATGCCACGCTGGCGAGGCCGTCAGGGACAACAGGACGTGGATCATCGAGCTATTGGGCGACGCGCCAGACCAGGGCGACGACGCCGATGACGAGGACGCCGCCCACGGCGAGGGAGACTACGACGAGGAAGGCGGAGAGGAGGAGACCCGAAGGTGTCGGACGAATTGGTCGATCCAGACTCCGCGACGGCAGCTCCGAGCGCGACTGATCGGGACAGCCAGTGGGAGTACTCGTGGTCCAGCGAGCTCATGCTCGGCAACAGGGTCGGCATTGGCCCAAACAACAAGGGCGTCGAAGAGGTGTCGCTCCCCATCCACATCGACGAGGGCACCAATCTAGAGGAGCTGGTCGAGGCAAGATGGAGGGATGGCACGACGCACAGGTTCCGCATCTCAGTGGCGGAGTTCACCATCGGCAAGTCTGGCAGCCGCGCTCGCAGTATTGATGCGATGTGGACTGGCGAGCACTCGGCGACGCACAACGTGTTAACGTTGCAGCAGCGCACCGATCGCATGCAGCTCCTTTCGTTGTACGACCAGGGTGCGCAGATCTTGCAGGTATCGCTGTACAAGTTCGGGGGATTGCCGATGCCCCAGCCTGGTCAAGTTCCCAATGATGATCCGACCTTACGGAAAGCAGTTGACTTCATGCTGCCGTTCTGCAAGATGTGGGAGTCCGACAAGGTGCAGGACAAGAAGGAGTTGAAGAGGCTGAAGGACGAGGCTGAGAAGGGCCAGCAGCTACTTCAGCAGTGCCCTCCAGCACGCAGGAACGCCATGGGCGCCAAGGACGTGCTGAAACGCCCAGCCGCCGCGCCCGCGGCGCTGAAGCGCCCAGCTGGCGCCGCCGATGCACCGCTGGCCTCGGGGGGCGTGTCGGTCGCCGCGGACGGCGGCGGCGCTGTCCAGGGGGGGGTGGATATCGCCGAGCCCGCGGCGAAGAAGGCGAAGGCAAAGGCAACCCCCAAGGCTACAGCGGCCAAGTCGGGGTCGATGGCGGTGGCGGCCCGCAGCCCAGTGAAACTGTCAGTGGGTGAGCATGTGACTGGCTCTACAGCGTCGGGCTCGAGAGCCACGGCGGGCGTTCCTGCTGCCGCTCCGAAACGCTGGGCGCGCGGGGCCCTTAACAGGGGGGCCACGCGTGATTATTCTTTCCAGCGAATTCCCGACCTCTTGGATGACGATGAGGTTGCCGCACTTGCCATGGTGCCGCCACGCACGGGATTCTCGGACTCAGATTGAACAACCAGCCCCGTGCAGCAAGACAGCACTTGAGCCGAGACAGCATACATCGCTTGCAGTCGCAGGTAGCCGATGCGCCTTGAAACCACTATCGCTAGAGGAGCACGTCACCATCGCCATCGCCATCACCGTCGCCACCATCATCATTATCATCACCACCACTGTAATGATTGAGGCTAGCATCATCGTCGTCATAGCCACCACCACCCCTAGCAAATCCCGTTTCGCCCGTGGCTGTTTCGGGCGAAACGCCGACGCACGATCAGGCGAAGTCATGGGCATCGCCAGGGGGGGGGGGGGTCAAGGACACGTCGGGGGGTCGAGTCGATTCCGCGTTGGATCGAAGATGGCTATTGTAGTTTGCAGAGTGATCCAGCTTGCACACACTCACACGCGATAAGTTTGAGTGGGTGTATGGGTGACGAGCCCCCCTTCTTCGCCACATTATTCACTACCTCCTGCTCCTCCTCCCACTACATAGACATTGTGGCTCGACGCCGAGCGCTGCAAGCGCTTGCGTACTGGGCCTCGCAAGTTCCGTCAGCCGTGCTTCGAGAATGGAGATGGTCATCCTGGACAACAAGATCGACGTGACCGACGCCGAGGCGATCTGCGGCGCCCAGGCTTCGGGCAGCGGCCAGGCGAATACGCCGAGTGGTGTGAGCCACGGCGCGTCGGGCAACGCTTGCCCGCACGGATCGCCGCAGTTGGGAGGCAAGTTTGTCGGGAAGGCGTTCGAGGGCGTCAATGCTGACGACATTCGCAGCCACTTGCATAAGATCGACCAGTGCCGAGTGAGCGAGGCCAACAACGATGAGTTCGAGCGGCTCATCTGCAGCGCCATCTCAAGTTCAGCACCGCCGCAGCCGCCAGTGACACCCAGCAAGAGGGAAGCTGATCTGACCAATGCAATCAATACTGGGTCGATCCCTTCGCGGTCTGCGCTCGACTCGGCATTTCGCAAAGACCACCCTGTTGGGAGCCCGCAGCACAACGAATACACGAAGGGCACTACATCGGAGAAGAGGGCGTTCAAAATTATTAAGTGGGCCCAGACTCAGCTCGACGAGATCAAGAAGGAGAAGATGCAGTCCGAGATGCTGTCCCAGACCACCCGCTCCAAGCAGGACATGTGCACGTTCGGGGAGCTGGTCGTCGGCTACGGCGGATGGGAGTGGCCCGCGGCCGTGGAAGGCGCGAAGAGGACGGCGGCCAAGTGCGCCAAACTCGGCGGCAAGTGGTGCTGGCGCGACGAGTGGTCGGAGCTTCTCTTGCATCGCAGGATCAAGCACGAGGACGAGGAGGAGTTCAAGAAGGCGTGGGCAGAGATCACTACCTCGAGCAGCCAGGGCAGCATGAGTGAGTCGTCGGCGGCGCACTCGGCCGCGCAGGTCGCTGTCGAGATGCCCGCAGGCGCCGCGCCGCCCAACGTCGATGCACCCTCCGCCGTGCAGCCGAGTGACGCTGGCGCGGCGGCGGCAAGCGGGGCGGCGGCCAGGAAGAGGAGCGGCGGCAACCCCGACGAGAAGGAGCCGAAGACCAAGACCGCCAAGACGGAGACGACGCTGTCCGCGGCCTCCAAGCTCAAGCCGCTGCACCTGAAAGCGGCGCAGGGCGCCGAGCTCCTGATCAGGCAGATCGGCGAGTCAGACGCTTACAAGTGGGCTCGCGGTAGCGAGCTGGAGGAGCTCACGCATGCGTTGGAGATCGTCCGCGACGGGAAGACCGAGTGCATCAACGAGTTCCTCGTCACGAAGGACGCGAAGCAGTTCGCCAAGAACTACGACGAGGGGGCCTGCGTGTCGGAGCTGAACAAGTTCAACAGCCAGAAGGATGCCGTCAAGCGGCCCGAGTCGAAGCTGAAGCAGATCTGCGCCATGCACAAAGTCAAGCGCTTGTTCCAGTAGCGAGCGCCAGCCTCGCGCCGAGGCGCTGCCGTTCTTGCTGGCATCCCTCCTCTACCTCCTCATCATAATGCCTTCCCCTCTTCGTATATCCTCATCATCAACCTCCTCACCTCCCCTCATCCACCTCGCCATCTCCTCGGTATCCCCTCATTTTCCTCAGCCCTCATTCGCATCTCGTTTCTGCCGTGGGAGTGCAGCTGATGCCAGTGGGCGCACTGCTGAGCAGTGCGATTTGAGATTTCGATGCAGTTTCTGCCGTCGGAGCTGGTTTGGGCGAGTTCGGTCAAGATTCGACGCGCATTGACGCAGTTCGGGTCCGACTCGAGCTGGGACTTCACACCAGACCATGGATTTGGATTTTGCCGTCAGGTTTTCAGAGATGACTTTGAGATGACTTTTGGATGACTTTTGGTCAAAGTTGCGCAATGGATCGAGGTTTGGCGAAGTCATCCACATGACTTTCAGATGACTTTCGGATGACTTTTGATGACTCTGAAAATCGCGAGCTCACCCGGCCCTGCCGGCTCAGAATTTGAGATTTGGCCCCGACGTGGCTCACGACACGGGGGGCGCTGCTCGATTTCTCGCGCGAGAGCATGACAGCTGACAAACCGTGATCCCACTGGTGCTCCTCCTCTTCCTCCGTGAGCCTGCTGCCTCCCACCCTTGTGTATCTTGAATTCCTGAGAGGGGTCGTGGCCGACGGGCGCGCGCATTCAGCATCCCCCCCCTTGACCCTCTAAAAACGAAGCGGCGCTGCAGTTTCCAGGGCTCGGCGGCAACGAGGGGGCGGGCATTGACCCGAATTGAAACAGATCGATCTGGATGGGGGTCGGGGCCGAGACTGGAGCGACAGCAACGCCGATGAAACTAACGCAACTCAGCCGAAAGCAAATCAACCGCCCGAAGGAGGGGGAGGAGAAAGAGAGGGGAGGAGGAGGAGGAGTACGATGAGGATAGCGACACGTGGCGCTACGACACGCGCTGCATACAAGGCGTTTGTAAGCATGAGTGCGCACGTTCTTGGATCGGACGACGTAGCCTGCACCTCCTCATCCTCCTTGCTGGGCTGGTGCCTGCTTGCGTGGCCGCTGCTCCGAGTCGGACGGCGCACCCACCCCATTCCCACCATAGGTGCACCAATGGGGCGGGGTCGAGCACCTGCGGGAACGGCGCGGGGTCCTGGCCAGGCTCTTGCCCCCATTCTCTCAACGCCTTCGGCGCCCCCCCTTTCCGCCAGACCCCGCGATCTGCGTGAGGAGCGTGCTGGAGTTACACGTGGTTCGGGGGCCCCAGGGTTCCAGGGTCCAGGGCCTCCCAGGGCCCAAGGGTTTCCCACTCTGCTCGAGGTGCCTGGAGCCCCCATGGGGCCCACCGTTGCGTTGTTCCACTAGGGCTTTCGCCCCTTCCGCCAAAAGGCACAGGCCACGCATAGCAAGTCGTCGGCGTCGGTGTCGGCGTCGTCGTTGTCTTCGTCTTCGTCTCCGTCGTCGTCGTCGTCGTCGTCGTCGGGGAATCCAATGGTCCTCGCATGCGTCGTCGTCGTCGTCGTCGTAGTCCCCTTTCTGGCCCGTGTGACCCCCTTTGTGGCCTCTGTGGCCCGTCAACCCTTGCGACCTCATTCGGCCTGTGTGGCCTCGTGGCTGTTTCCAGGGCTCGTGCTACTACTACATGTATGTATTGATGTTGATTTGACCCTGCTCCGAATCAAATTTCGCCTGCAGGGATATGGGACGGGGTCGGCCACAAGCAACTGTGGTACCGTGAGCCCTTGAACCCTTGCACCCCCCTCCTCGCCCCCCTACGTTCCCTCGTCTATATGCCCGCCCATACGATGCCATCCCGCCCCGAGTCCCCATGGCACTCGTGCGTTCCGCTCACCGCAGCCATTTTGGCTCAAGCGTGTCGCGTTTCAGCAACGCCGCTATTTAATTTGCGCCTGGCGTTGATGCCATTGCATTCTTGGGGTGACCAGCCGATGCGCGCCGACGGTGCCCCATCGGCGCACTCATGGGAGGACCGGCTCGGCGCCATGGCTGCCGACGAGGTGCTGCCAGACAGCTCCGACTGTGGCGACAACGACGACGACCCAGCTGACATGTTCATTGAGTTTTGTACAGAGTTGTTGTTGGCACGCGAGTTGAGCGCAACCCAGTTTTGTTCGCTAATGTACTACGTTGGCATTGCTGGCATTGACAAGGCCGCCAAGGTAGGCATGAGGCCTGGCTCTCACAGCGGCAACGAACAACGAAAAATAAACGATCACATCGGCAGAACCCAGGACCGTGACGAGATGTATTTTTTGAGCCTGCCATGCTTCGACAACTCGTCGTTGGCACGATCGGTTCGACAGTTGCCAGTTTTTGTGCCGCATGAACAGCTCGATGTCGGCGTGGGCCCACACGCCCGAACCTCCCTGAGAGAAGCAATCGACAGCAATGAGCTGCCCAATTCGTATGCCCAGCACCCTGTTGTAGTGAGGCATGGTAGTCGCGATGACCCCGTTCGGCCTCTGTGTCTGTACCTGGATGGCGTTCCGTATTCGCACACCGACAGCGTCATCGGCGTGTGGGTGGAGTGCTTCGTTGATGGGGCACGGCACCTCGTTGCGGCTCTCCGCAAGAAGTCTCTCTGCCGATGCGGTTGCAGGGGCTGGTGTTCGATATCAGCGTTAACGTCGTTTCTACGGTGGTCATTTGCGGCCATGGCCGACAAGCGCTACCCTGAGAAGCGACGCGACGGCGAAGCGTGGGTCGAGTCTGACATTCAGAGACGAGGGCGCGCGGGCACCGCGCTCGCCATGCGTTCATGCCTGCTCTTTATCAAGGGAGACTGGGCCGAACACGCTGGAACGATAGGCTTGCCAACGTGGTCTGATATAGCGCGGCCGTGCTACAGCTGCAATGCTCACGGTGCGGGGATGCACCGCGTTGCTGGCGCTTGTCGCACGGGCTTCCCCCACAGGGGGAACTTGGAGCACGAGTGCGACGATGCATGCAGCCGTTGTGAAATCATTATTCCGCTGACCCCCCATCTCAGGCAACTTATACTCGATGTGGGCAAGCTGCGTTATGACAAACGGCCAGCTGGCAGTCACGGTCGCGCACTGGAGAATCCGATACCTCTGCTGGAGCTGGAGCGAGACGATCGGCTGGAGCCGTGCCCAGACCTCCCAGACGTGGGGAAGTTCGAGCAGCTTGACTTGTCCACCGTCAAACGCATAGCGTTATGGCGCCAATCGAGGGAGACGTTGACACGCCACAGGAATCCGCTCTTCAGCACAGAGCTGGGAATTACTGTATGGCGAACGTTGACGCCCGATTCGCTCCACACATTATATCTCGGAGTGTTGCTTTCTTTCTGCAAGCCGGTAGTGTGGAAGCTAATTCTCAGCGGCGCTTGGGGCGGTCATGGTACCCAAGACGAAATCATTGGCATTGCAATCCTTACCTTCCGCAGTGCCATTACCAATTGGCATAAACGACGTGCAAAAGAATTTTTCCAGGCGAGACGTTGACTCGGATTTCCAACATAACGAGAAAAACGGTTGGTGACCCATCGGACCAGAAGCTTAAAACAAAAGGTGCCGAAACCTGGGGACTCTTATGTTTTCTAGTAGACGAGCTGCCGCATCACCTCTGGAAGCTTGGCCCCGAGGGGGGTCGGCTACTGGAGGCAGCGACGGCATTGCGGGACATGGCACTTCTCTTTGATACGAGTGGCATTCAGATGTCAGATGCGGCGGTGGACGCGTGTTGGCGACACTACCGTACTTTTCTAGACTTGACTGAGAAATACGACGAGCTGATGTTGCCGAAACGGCACCTGACGCTACACATGCTCAGACGTGTGCCATTTTTTTGGCAATCCGCGTTTCTACGCAGCCTGGAGGACGAGGACCTGAACAAAACCTTGAAGGGTTGTTGCAGGAACGTTTCACAGTCCACATTTGAAATCAGCGTACTGTCAAGCATGAAAAGGCTCCTTCAGATTAGAATGTCGTTTCGGAAGCGACCACTCGACTCTTAACATTTTGTTGGACTGGTGTGGCGCCCAAGTGCGCCTCTGAAAACGGCGTCCGCCTCGCTTCCATCCGATGGTTAATTTATCTCCAACGCTTTCCAGCGCCCCGCCGCCGAACCCCAATATCTGGAACAAGCTCCTAAAACCAGCAATCGCTTAGAACACCCACCGAGGTCGCGATCAGCTCATATTTTCATTCCGTGATCTGATGTAGGTGGTTTTCGCGCCCTCCAGGGGAACTCGTGGGAGGCCTCTTGGGGCACGAACGTGGTGTAAGTATGTGGAGATTCACAAAGCTTTACACCCCCCTCTTTGCCCGTACCAGAGGGGGGGGGGGGGGGAAACTTGTGTCCTGGGTAATTTCTCTTGGTCCAGGCGCAGGTCAAAGAGTGCCGTTGTTGAGCATAACTGACATATAATAATCCCTCCTCACCTCCTCTTCCTCCACCGTATGCTCCCTCTTCCTCCACATCATCCTCCCTCTGTGCTTTCCTCTTTTTGATATTCCTCCTCCTCCTTCTCCTCCTCCTTTTTCATATTGTTCCTCCTGCCCTTATTCCTGTCGACCCGCATCCTCCGCAGTTTTTCTTTGTATTACCCGTTGCGATTTGGGCTCAAGCCATGTCGATCAAAGCGTCAACGCCATCAAGTTACGATACCGTTGCACGCGACGGAAATATTCGCTCAAGTCAGCTGAAAACGCAACAACGCACGCAAACCGCAACATGAGCAACACACAAAAAGCTTTAAATTTAAAGCTTATAAAATCTAGAGCGCTTTGAGCTTTAAAATAGAGCTCGATAAGTCACAGGGGGCCGAGAGGACCCCCCGGCCGCGGAGTGGGCCGCGGGGGGGCTGCTGGCGCCGGAGCCCGCGGCCGCGGGGCCGCCCGAGGAGTGGCGGGCGGAGGGCGGCGGGGCAGCCTCGGAGCGCGGGGAGGACCCGGCCGGGGGCGGCGGGCGGCGCTCGGGGGGGCACGGCAGTGGAGGTTGCGCAGTGCGGAGTGCAGCGGTTGGCACGGTCAAAGAGAGAAGAATTCGGCCAGAGGGGCGGCGGGGCGAGCTGGCGCGCCCGCGCAGGGCAGTGCGCGGGCGCATATGCTCCACGCGAGTCCGCCCTGCCCGCGTCGCCGCGTCGGCCAGCTCGCCTCGACCTCGTCGCTGGCGCACCGAGTCGAAGGCCCCCTGTGGAGGGGCAGCCGGGGCCTTGAGAGACGGGCCGGGGGATAGGGGGGGTATACACCCTCGGCCGCGGAAGGATTTTCAATGCGTGGTTCGAGCCTTGCTGGTCCAACGTTTGCTGATCCCGCTCAGCTGCTCAGTTGGATTGTTGCACCGCCTGCGTCGTGTTGAGGTGCTTCGGCGGGCGAGCACTCGACGGCGCTAACACGCGTTCTGAGGATCATCGAGACGGGGGGTGGCTGGCCCCAGGGGTGGGGAGGTCGATGGCCGACGAGGGTCCACCTCAGGGAGGGATAGCGCGGATGCTTCTCAGCGCGACTCTCGGCGTCTTCCAGCCCTCGGGGTGCTCTTCAGCATCTGCGCCTCGCCGAGGCGCGTATGGGCTGTCCAGATCGTCCCCGACCGAGATCATTATGTTACATAGCAATTTGCTTAGCTTAGGCGGGCCTGTCCTCTAAGGAGGATATGAAGATAGTCTGGACGACTTTTCGTGTATCTTCAAGCATGTTTGGTAAAATTTGGCTGCTATTTTTGCAATTTATCGTCCAAAATCCTCCTGTTGGGGGACACGCCCGCCTAATCTTAGCGTGTCGCGCCGCGGTCTGGGCACAATCCAACTCTTCAGCCGCGATGCGCTAGCCACGCCCCGATCCCCGAGCGGTCAATGTCCTCGAGCTCCTTTCTTGCAGCCCGCCGCCGCACGGACGGAGCACCGCACGATCTGCTCGCAGCGCCGTAGCGTGTCGGCCAGTGCGCAGGCCGCGACACGTGACACGCGAAGCAAAAGGCTCCCGACCGTAGATTTTTCAGGGGAGGGGCACGCATCGACCGCCGGACTGGCCATTCATCGCCACGAGGGCCTGAATAGCCACCCGCCCAGAGGGTTGCGGCTCCGCTGCGGGGGCCTCTCGCCGATCTATCCTCGACGTGTCCGCTGCTTCTGGAGGGGAGGCTTTGCCTCCTCCCGGCCTCGTTCTGAGGCTGCGCCCCCCCTTTTTCCTGCCCGATCTCTGCCTAATTCAAGCTTCGCGCGGCCCGCTTAGCTTCGACCGGAAGAGGTGCGCTCTCGACCCGCGGATCGAAAAAAGTCGCTGCTTCCACGTCCACGTTTCCTCCCCTGGGCCGCTCCTCCTCCTCCTCCTCCTCCTCCTCCTCCTCCTCCTCCTCCTCCTCCTCCTCCTCCTCCTCCTCCTCCTCCTCCTCCTCCTCCTCCCCCTCGTCTTCGTCCTCCTCCTCCTCCTCGTCCTCCACCTCCTTCCCCCCTCCAACTTCGGTCCCCCCCGCGATCGCTCCCGCGCAGCACCAGGGGGGGGGAGGTGCAGCAGCCCCAGGTCTGTGGAGCTGGGTGTCGGCCTCTGGAGGCCGCCCTCGGGCATCGCGGATGTCGGACGTATGGGGAACAGCAGCAGGAGGAGGAGGAGGAGGAGGAGAGGAGGAGGAGAGGGGGAGGAGGAGGAGGAGGAGAGGGGAGGAGGAGGAGGAGAGGAGGAGGAGGAGGGAGGAGGAAGAGGAGGAGAGGAGGAGGAGTGAGGAGGGAGGATAGAGGATGATGAGGAGGAGGAGGAGCGGAGGAGAGGAGGAGGAGGAGGAGGAGGAGGGAGGAGAGTAGGCGGGGGAATTAGAGGAGGAGGAGGAGGAGGAGGAGGGAGGAGGGAGGAGGAGGAGGCGGAGGAGGAGGAGGGAGGCGGAGTAGGAGGAGGAGGAGGGGGATGGGAGGAGGAGGAGGAGGCGGGGGAGTAGGAGGAGGAGGAGGAGGAGGAGGAGGAGGAAGAGGAGGAGGAGGAGGAGGAGGAGGATGGGGTTGGAGCAGCATCCCCAGGGCGTCCCGCACCGAGAGAAACACGTCGTCGGACGTCTGGGGATGCGGATCGCAGCGGCCACTGCCGCAAGGCCTGGGCCAGGGCCTCCTCTCACCCCTGAGGTCTTGGCGTCGCATGCTGCTCACACCAGACGTTCTCGCCCGGGGTTCGGGCCCCGGGGCTTTCACGGATCGACCAGGCTCGAGGAGTGACGCAGAAGCATGGGGCCGAGGGCTCTCGTCGGGCTGGTTGTCGTGCTGCCGTTCTTCTGCGACGCTGGGTCTTGGGGACGAGTGGAGGAGCACAAGATTCAGACCCTCTCGCTGTGTCACGCAGAGGCCCTTCAAGAAACCACCTCGGTCGAAGCGCAGGTCCCTGGGAAGGGGTCGAGAGCTTCTTGCGGGCCGCCGCACACCAAACACCACACGACCCCGGCCACTCTCCGACGTGACGTGTCTG